AATGTTTTGAGTATGCCTATCAGATCAGGCCCTGCAAGTGAGCTAGGAAGGGAAACACCTATTTTCACCTGATTTGAGAGTCCCTCTGAGGCTTAGGCATGCAGTGAAACATTGGAGTGAAACATGATGCGCATGCCCTGAGGCAGAAACTTCTGGTATGTCTACACTGCAGTTAAACAACCACAACTGGCCTGCGCTGGCTAACTCAGGCTCGCAGGGCTCAAGCTAGGGGCTGTTAAATTGTGGTGGAGATGTTCAGACTCAGGCTGCAGCCCGAGATCTGGGACCCGCCAACCTCACGAAGTCCTAGAGCCTGGGCTCTAGCCCGAGCCTCTACATCGCAATTAAACAGCCTGTTAGCCCAAGCCTCTGGGTTTTTAACTACAGTGTAGACATAGCCTTAGACATCCAGGGATCTCTCATGGCAAAAATTGGGTGCCGAGGAATTCTAAGTGCCTATAGTGTTAGGTGGCAGGTGAGCAGGAGTTTTGAGGATCTTAGTGGCACCTAAATTTTGGATTTAGGCATCTAAGTGGGAGGTAGGTACCTAAGACCCTTTGTGGATCCAGGTCTACGTCCCTAACTCCCTCACACCTAGGTGCTTTTGAAAATCCCACTAACTGCCGATAAAAAAAAACCCTGCATTTTTAGACACCTAAATATCTTTAAAAATCTGGCACTTAGTCCCCACTCTATCAACATGTTTTGCTGATTAATTTTTTAAAGCAAGACTGCAAATTTAAAAAAATGTGTGAAAGTAACAATAGATATAAAATTATGCTAAGTTGATACACAGAAAAAATAGGGCAGGGTGAGGGGAAATACTGTAAAGTTAACTGTCTTATATGTTGAAAATCTTATTTTTTTAAAAAATAGCTGCATATTAAAATGGACAGGTTAAATCCTTACGTCTTTACTCAGATTTAATTCTGGCTAATTCCCATCCAAGTCAACAGTAGTTTGCCTGATGGTGCCCTGATCCTCAATTTAGAACATACAGATGGACTGCTGCACCTGCACAGGGCCCTACTGAAGTTAGTACAGCTGCATGTACAGTGTAAATTGAAGGATAGGAGCTTAAGAACTGACCTCAGGATTTGGTGGTGGTTTAATAGCATAGAAAAATGGATTGTAGATATAGCTGAAAATAGAGGTCTGTTCTTCTCTGAGCTTATATAAAAGCCAGGCATTGTTCTGACCTAAATTTTTGGTAATATTTCTAACTCAAATATAACAAAATATTTCTAACTGTTCTTGTACAACATTAAGATATTTCTTAGAGATATATGAACAATAAAGATTGAAATCTTTTTCTCTTTTTTCCAAAGAAGATTTTTCTCATTTAGAATACTCAGATACTTTTCTCTAAATGAGACTTTTTTCCAACAGATCTACACAGAATAAACTCTCTAACCGCACTACTACTCTCTGAGACACTATTTCCAGCTATTTTCCCTATCTTTAGTCACACTGTAGTGAGATCTTATGTGGTGGAAAGTTAGGTAAGTACAGTTATATATATAATATGGTGCAATTTCTGTACTCAGATGCACATTCATTTCTTCAGTTCACTTTGTGACATGGTGTACAGTCCCTTTGGGCCTCAGTTGGAGAACTCAAAAGGGACAAAAGCACTCTGCCTTGATTTTGACACAGAAAAAAACCTCCCATCTATCTTTTAAATAGTATAGGACAACAGTGGTGATCTAGGCAACCAGCTGCCCTCCCCAGGGAATCTATGTGGATTGGGTTTGGTGAGTAAGGGCTTTCTGGTACCTGGAAGGAAACTCCTGTATAGTGAGTAGGTGGGAATTATTTTCTTCTCATCTTGAATTGGACTGAGGAAAAGTAGTCATGTTTCTGCTTGACATCGTTAGTCTGAACAGGTGAACTATATTACAACTAACTCAGCACCAAATATAAACACCTGGGTCCAGATCCACAAAGGGACATAGATATTGCAATGCTTGGTGTTGTGGCATTTAACTTTTAGGTGCCTAAAAAAATCACAGGAACAACACTGCAAGCCACAAAGTCTGAATGAGCTGCCTAAGGTCCCTATACAATCAATGGGGAGAGACAAGTGCCTTAGAAGGGGATTCACAAAAGCTATGGCGCTAGGCAGGGAGCTGCCTAAGCTAGGCAATGGGAGATACCGGGTGACAGTCCCATCCTTCTCATGGAGATAGGCACCTAAAGCCAGGCTGTATGCAGGTGCCTTTTCCTGATTATTTAAATATTTATGCTCAGTGGAACAGTTATTCAGAGAAGAGAGAGAGAGCTTCTATTGTCCAATAATTAGACCACCCACCTGGGACATGGAAGAGCCAGGGTCCAGTTCCCCTATTCCAATCACTCTTTCACTATTTAGCTGCAGTGGAACAGCTTCAACAGGATAGATTGTATCAGATTATCCAGTACCTCAGTGGTTTGAGCATTTTCCTGAAATGTGGGAGAGCCCTGTTCAAATCCTTTCTCCCCATCCTGACGGGGAAGAAGGAACTGGATCTAAGTCACTCAGGAGAATGTTCTAATCAGTAGACTAAAAGTGGGGGGCTGTTCTACCTCCTCTGGCGGCTAGACTTTGATTAGGACCTGACCCAGTAGGCAGTCTCTGAGCACACCTGTGATGCTGACAGACCAGGTGCCCCAGTGGAACACTGATGAATGTATAGCTCTAAACCAGTCTGGCTCACCTGTGTGTTAGTATTATTAAAATAGGTATTAAATTTATAAAAATGTGTTTAGACTTTATAAAATGCTTGTAGGGTGCTGCATGAATTAATCTCACTTAATATAACTTTATAAGATGGGGTACAGATGTTAAGTGTTTGCACTGTAAACCTCTGTAACTTGTATAACTCATTAAACAGGAAAGAACCATTAAATGTAAAATCCTGGTTTCCTATAGAAGGTGCTAGGTTCTGTACACATGGCCCATTGAAACCAAGTGAACCATTGTGAAACATCAAAGGACAAAAACTTTGTTGATTGACCCGCACACGCATGCCCTTGAAGCAGAGTTGTCAACTTTCACGGGCTAAATAAGCACCCCCAACTTTCACAATAAGCCAAAAATCAAGTTGATCCCATTTCAAAACAATGCTAAACAAGCCAATTCCTAAGAACCCCAATACTTTACGTTACTAGATTCCCCCCAGTGTGCAGTGTGGGACTGTGGTTGGCGCACTGTGCACCCCTGACTCTCTCCCCTCCTTGCTGGGAGCTGATAAAAAAAAAAAGCAACAAGCCAAAAACTAGCCAACAAGCAACTCACAAGCCAATTAAGCGAAAAACAAGCCAAATTTCTGCGTTTTTTTCCATGGGTTTGGCATGTCTGCCATGAAGACGTGCACGACGACTTGTCCCATCAGTTTGAATTCTGGGGGAAGGGAATAAAAATCCCTGACCAGAAGAAACTGGATCGCCCTATGCTGCTTGAACTCTTAGGGGTGAAAATTTCTAAGCATGAGCAAGAGTTCCCCGGTGCTTGGCTGGGGTTAGCCCTAGCGGATTTATAGCATTTGCATATTACAGCAGCTTCTATTACCTTTTGAGACTTAACACTGTAGCTCATTTGTCTATGTATGTTTACCTGCTTTAACTCTGGAAGTAACTCTCACTTATTGTTCTTAGTTAATAAATCTTTAGATAGCTTTTCTTATAGGATTGGTTTCAAGCATTGTCTTTGGTATAGGATCTAAGGTGCAGTTGACCTGGGCTAAGTGACTCATCCTTTGGGACTGGGAGTAACCTGAATATTATTGTGATTTTTGGTGTAAGGGACCATCTATCACAAAGGCAAGCTTGCCTGGGTGGCAAGGTAGTCCTCTTGGGTACTCCAATATGTCTGTGACTTCATGTTAAGGCTGTTATAGGGCTTGAGGAGTTCACGCTGGATACTTGGTTGATGAAACCTAAGTATAAAACACACAACCAGTTTGGGGTTTGTGCTCTATTTCTTAAGAGTCTGCCCTGAGGTTGGTTTTTCATGGTATTCAGGCCCCACATGCAAGATAGGCAAGCAAACACCTGTCTTCCCCCAGTTTGTTGATTGCTCTGGAGCTTACGTGTCCAGATGCCTGGAGTGAGACAACAGTCAGCATGCTCAGAGACAGAAATGTAGGCACCTAAGAAACTCTTTACTGCAAAAACTTAGGTGCCAAGTAAATTTAGGTGCCTATAGGGTTTGGCAGGAGTTTTGTGGATCACAAAACTCTTAAACTGGGATTTAGGCACCTAAACGTCAGATTTAGGTGCTTAAATCTGGGGTTTAGCTATCTAAGTACCCTTGTGGATCCCACCCCTGGAACCTGATTCTCATTATTTTTTTACCTCTACTTGTGTAGTCATTTACATTGTGGCAAAGTGAGTGTAAAAGCCACTCCTATGATTTTTGCAGCTTTTTATACCCAGTTGCATAGATGTAAATGATTACAAAAGGTGAAAAGTGGTGGAGAATACGCCCCTTGTTTTTACTCAGGCCTGGTCTACATAGTTTGAGCAGCTAGATTAGAAAGTAGCGGATGTTGATTAGATGTATTGTTACCTAAGTGGTTTGTTTTTCTTCGGTTAAATAATTGTTAATTGTATAAAGGGGAATATGGCTATCTGACTCTTAGCCATGATGATTTTATTTTGAGTCACTAAAGAAAAAAATCTAAATCTCAGGAAGGGAATTTTTTTCTTTTAACAAAGAATAACACTTGTGTATCTCTAATAACAATGACCTGAACTTTCTGTTCACTTCATGAGGAAATGTACCTGATTGTCCAAACCAACGGGCAGAACTTAGTTTGGAATATTTCAATGGTAGCTTGACAAAAGAAGTAATTGTTGTACTGTATACTTCATTTCCATTTCCTCTATTGTTATAACATTGTGCATAAGCAGTAAAACTGATGGTCACATTGAATGATTGTGATTAAGATACTGCATACGAATTTTTAAAAATGTACAAGCTGTTGTGCTTTAGCAGTCAGCCAAAAAATGCTACTTACAAAATGCTCATTGGACAAGCAGCAGCTTCCCTACAAAAACAAAAAAATGGGCCTTTTATACAATCAATTTTAGAATGTTAGATGCTCTAAAAACCAGATCCTGATCCTGCAAACACTTGTGTACCTGACTTCATTAGGTCTATTCACATACTCAGAGTTAAGCACCTGTATAAAATGTCTGCAGGATCAGTGCCCTGGAGCAGTACTTAGAAATAATTTAAATTCTATGAGACTAAGTGGATGTAACAGTTTCTTAAAAAGACTTAAGGATATTGATCAGAGAGAAATCTTTGTAATCATTGAATACAGGCAGTGGAACTGGAACAAATTTTATAGTGAGGATGCTGAAAACCATTGAACAAGACCTCCTCAAGCCATGGGTGTGCTGCCAAACCCCTTGTTTACATTGGCCTCATTAACACTACAAAAGTGACTTCCACTCCTTTTCCTCAACTGTTGCCTACTTCTAACTTAAATTGAATTGGCTCATTAGCAATGACCCCCCACTTGCTAAGGCAACTCCTATCTTTTCATATGCTGTGTATTTCTACCTCCCTACTGTATGCTCCACTCCATGCATCTGATGAAGTGGGTTTTAGCCCAGGAAAGCTTATACCCAAATAAATTTGTTTGTCTCTAAGGTGCCACAAGGACTCCTCATTGTTTTTACCCCTAGTTCCAGCACCCTTGACTACAGGTATGAAATGGCTGTGTTTGGGTAGCCAATTAATAATTTTGTTATACTTCTGAATTTATAGGTAGTTTCTTTGAGCCTATCTAGTTCTATGAATATCCTCACCTATCTCCTTTTAATATTTACCCCTGCCTATGCATGTGTGTAATATCACCTGTGATAGAGGGGTGAAGAGTAATATTTAAGGGGCAGAAGCATGTAAAAGAGTGGGCTGGGAGCATATGGAAAGACATACAGAGGGGACATGCACGACTTTGGGCGGCCTCCACTGCTTCTTGCAGGGGAACACAGAACTGTCCCGACGCTCCAGGGAGCAGCAATACTTTCCGAGGGCCACGTGTGCTGTGCAAGGGGGTAGCTATTGCAGCACTTGGGCAGGCGAGGGCGCTGGCGCCTGCATGAGAAGGAGGTCCCTTCAGAAGGGGCGGCCCTAGTCACAGAGCCGAGTACGGTCGTTCTGTGGCCGTAAAAGGGGGCGGGGTGACACTCACCTCACGTCCCGCTCGCGCACTGCATGCCGGGAGGTGTAGTCCCGCCCTGTCGTCTTCCGGGACCCGCCGGTGCCCTTCGGGAGAGCGACATTGGGGTCACGTGAGGGGTTTGTTGACTTCCTCGAGGGGGCGGGAGGTCCTGGTAACGGCGTCGTCAGGCCGGGCCCCGGGCGGAGGTGATGGGAGCCCGGAGGAGCCCGAGTAGAGACTGCGGCGGCCGCTGCTGCTTCCTCTTCGCCGCCGCCCGCCAGTGACCGGAGCCGAGCGGAAACCCCCCGGCAGGTCAGCTCCGGCCCTTCCCTAGAGGGGATGGGGCAGATGGGCCGGGGTGGGGGGAGGGGAGAGCGGTGACAAGCGCTCTCAGCCGGTGGCTCGGGCTGACGTGGAGCCGCAACCCCCGACAGCTCGACGCTCACAGCGGCCTGCTGCGGGCGCGCCTCTGCGCCCACGCGCTTCCTCCCCGCCCCGCTGCCTGCTCCGGGGCTTGTCCGCATTGGGACGGTTCCTGTCTCTCCTCCAGCGGCTCAGCGGAGGCGATGCGGGGCGCCGTGCCCTGCTCCGCGCGGACCGCACAGTCACGGGCAGCGGCCTCTGTGCCGGCCAGGTGGCCCCGGGCCTCCACAGGGAAGTTACCTTTAAATCCACCCAGTGAGTATTTTACGTTCTCTCCTGCAGAGAGGAAGCTGGCAGGGTGACGGGAAAGGGGCAGCGAACAGGCTGCTGTGGTGCCCCGGAGCTGGGTAGGAGTCTGGGGATTATGCAGGGAAAGTAGCTGCACCGGAATGGCACCAGGAACCTGCAGATGAAGCCTTTTCAGATGAGGATGCATGACGCTCACAATTCCATAACATAGGCAGTGAAAGGGAGAAACTGTTCAGGGGGAGAAAAATGTTATCAAATACCATGAAGTCCTACAACGCACACCCAAATACAACTGTTCTGGGCGCATTATAAACGCGGGTTAATACTCATAAGTGTAGAGAAATGTGTATTGTAATGGGCTTGTAAAATTCACTTGCAAGTGGGGAATGAGCATGTGTGAAGGATTGGGGGGAGAGGGGTGTAATTTGTCTGATTGTGCAGAATTTAAATGTTCTGATAAACTACGTGTTTGGTCCTTCTGGCTGCCAAGATAACCACCTAAATGTGAGCTTCTGCTATGTGTGGTTCTGAGTCTGCAGATAGACCTCTCCAGCTTCTCCACTGATTCTCCTAACTCTTTCCCAGCAGCAGCAAAATTAAATTAACAGGGATGTCTGATATCTTTGCTGCCCTTCAGAATCCTGTGAGCTGGGATGAAACTGAAAAGAATCATGTCCATGTCACTGCTAACATTTGGGGAAAGGTATAAGCAGTAGCAGCCAAGGCAGGCACTGGAGTTATTCTCTGAGGAGGAATAATGGAGACTTGGGAGACTAGAAGCCCAGCTCCCACATGGAGATCATTTGCAATATAGTGTGAGATCAAAACTTTTAATGGAAATTGGTGAGGGAATCTTCTGTTTTTTCACTAATATCACATCTATGTGACGTAATGTGCAGAAAAGAGAGAAAGGATAGTTTTTTGTTCAATGTTCAGATCTGATGGTGGGGAAGTGGAACCCTTTGTTAAAAGGGAAGTCTAGTCTAAGCACAGGATTAGAACCAGAAACTTAAAAAAAAAAAAAATTAATTCTGACTGCCATGTGAATCCTCTGTGCCCTTGAGCAACTTGCTTAATCTCTGTTTCAATTTCCCCATCTATAAAATGTGTATTACACTTAACTACTTCACATGGTGTTGATGATTGTGCAATGTTTATAAAGACCTTTGAACAAGAAAAGAGTAAGTGCCAGGTTTTATTATTAAACAAAGGGGAAATGATTATGTCCTAAAACAAGTAACATGTTAAATCTCAAAAGCCGTTTATTACTCTTTAATATGAATTATAGAACAACAACAAATGCTTTCTATAAGCCAACAGTAAATCTAGGGAGGCACATGATCTATTGGTGTATACAGGCAACATTTTAGTGTCATGTACTCTTAGAAATATTTGGTTTAATTACTTGTAAGAGGGGAGAACAGTAAAATAGGATTATGTTTTTAGACACAGACTTATTTGGGATATACAGAAGGCCCTACCAAACTGAGGTCAGTTTCATGGTCATAGGATTTTAAAAATTTAAATCTGAAATTTCACTGTTATAATTGTAGGGGCCCTGACCCAAAAAGGAGTTGCGGGGAGGGTGGGTTGCAAAGTTATTGTAGGGGAGATTGTAGTACGTACTTCTTTGCAGCTGCTGGTGGCAGTGCTGTCTTCAGAGCTGAGCAGCTGGAGAGCAGCAGCTGCTGACCAGGATCCCAGCTCTGAAGGCAGAGCCACCACCAGCAGCAGTGCAGAAGGAAGGATGGCATGGCTTGGTATTGCCACCCTTACTTTTGCACTGCTGCTAGTGGGGTGCTGCCTGCTAGTGGGGCACAGTTGGGTGCCCGGCCAACAGCCCTCACTCTCCTGTCCCCCAAGCTCTGAAGGCAGTACAGAAATAAGGGTGGCAATATCACCCCCCCTAAAATAACCTTGTGGAACCCCCCCGTAACTCCTTTTTGGGTCAGAACCCCCTGTTTGAGAAATGCTGGTCTCCCCCTCCCTTCTCCCCCCCCCCCCGTGAAATCTATACAGAATAGGGTAAAAGTACACAAAAGACTAGATTTCACGGGGGGGGGAGACCAGATTTCACGGTCTGTTTTGCGTTTTTTATGGCCGTGAATTTCGTAGGGCCCTAGATATACAGTAACACTTCTATTTTGTTTGCTTTGTCTTGTATCTGGAAGTAAGAGTAAAAAATCAAGTATTAACATTTAGTCACTTTTTTCATGAAATAACACCATTCTGAAAACTGATATAAACTGCATAAATCTGTGCCATGGCCAAATAAAAGTAATGCATTGTATCTTATTTTAATGAGATATAGCAGATGAACAAAAGGAGAATCAACACCATTTGACCAATTAGCTCTGCATAGCAAGAGCAAGCGCTCGATAGTCCATGGACTGTAGTTTGAGAACTCCTGACTTGTGAAATAATATGTAAAATTTCAGGAAACATTTTTGTGACTATCGCCTATTCATAGATCATAAATCTATCTAATTGCCTTAAAAATAGTATTTGAGAAACTGGACGAACATAAGAACAGCCATGCTGGGTCAGACCAATGGTCCATCTAGCCTAATGTCCTGTCTTCGGACAGTAGCCGCTGTCCGGTGCTTCAGAGGGAATGAACAGAACAGGCAGTCATCAAGTGATCCAGGCCTGTTGTCCACATCCAGTTTCTGGTAGTCAGAGGCTAGGGATACCCAGAGCATGGGATTGCATCCCTGGCCAACTTGACTAACAGCCATTGATGGACCTATCCTCCATCCTCCTGCCTATCTAATTATTTTTTGAATCTAGGTATACTTTTGGCCTTCACACCATCCCCTGGCATCGAGTTCCACAGGTTGACTGTGTTGTGTGAAGAATTGCTTTCTTTTGTTGGTTTTAAACCTGCTGCCTATTATTTTAAATGATTCTTGTTATATGAAGGAGCAAATAACACACATTCATTTTCTCTACACCTTTCATGATTTTTTTTTTTTAATAGACCTCTATCATATCTCCCCTTAGTTGTCTCTTTTCCAAGCTGAAAGTCCCAGTTTTTTAATCTTTCCTCATATGGAAGCTGTTTCATATCCTTAATCATTTTTGTTGCCCTTTTTTGTACCTTGTCCATTTCTAATGTATCTTTTTCTTTTTTGAGATAGAGCAACCAGAACTGTATGCAGTACTCAAAGTGGCAGTACTCAAGGTGTGGGTGATTTGTGATTCATTTCACTAATACTACTGTTCAATTAGATCATTATACTTGTAGTGGAAAGACTTTTTATATGTATACCTAATCTCTGTCGTCTTTGCTCATTACTCTTTAAAAATTTCCTTTCCTTCCTTTCTATGCCATTTAGGGCAGGTTTCTAATTTTTCTCTCACTACTTTATCTCCAGCCCAACTGTTTTCATGAAAATGAAGCAGCCTCAGAGCACAGATTCGGTTTCATTTTGAGAGACACAACTCCTCTGCCCCTTCATTGTGCTGTTTCAGCAATAGCCTTTATAACATAGCTAATTGTGTACTGTGTAAAGGACAGATTTTGGCCTTGTATATGTTTATAGTTCCCATCTTCTTTAGTAAGAGTTTAACGTATTAGCTGAAAGTAGAACTCAGTCTCAAATTTTTTCCTTCTGTCAGTTATTTTAGAAGTTTTCACATAGTGTAGACCTAAATTAATAAACAGTTGATCTTGTTAACTGTGAATATTCTGATATCTTTCATAGTGTTAGTATATTCCTTAATTATGATTCCTTCCCCATCTCACACTACCATATACTACAGCTTGGAACATAAACTGGGTACAGTGCACTTCTTGGCCAGCTGACAGCTGTTTAATATAAAATGAATAATTGATTTCAGTATCATTTTTATTGGGCAGGAATGCATATCACACACAACTTCACAGTAGGCACCTTTGTTGACAGTTTGAGTAAAGAGAGATTCTCAGTGAGCACAGAAACTGACCTACATTTGCAATTAAAAGAATCACATTATGGCCATTGCTAGTCTATATCTAAACACTTTTTTTTTTTCTTTGCCTCTTTGCCTACAATTTGTTACTTGCTTTTTGCATCTTTTCTTAAGTTAGATTGTAAGCTGCTTGGGGCAGTGACCACATCTTCCTGTGTGTGTGTGTGTGTGTGGTTTTTTAACCATGCTTAGAAAATTGAAGCAATAAGTATATCTTAAGAAGGTGGCTCCTTTGAGATTTCAGGGAGGCTTACGCTACCACTGTCAGTAGTGTATCTGTTCAGTGGATAAAGAGGAATTTAGTTTTTGTGGGTATCCTGCTAATTTTCAAAATCAGAAAACTCACTGCAGGAAGTTGCTCTGTTACAGAATCTTTGGGAGATGATATTTTATTAGGTGTATGTATGGTTTATGAATCATTGTGGGTCACGTTTGTATGCGCTTCATCGCGGGAGGATTTCCACAGCTCCTCTAAGAAGTGAAAACAGTAGGGGATGATTAAGGCAAATGACTCAAGTTAGAATACCTTGAGAGAGGTACTTTCTCCTGGGGAGGCTCCCCTATTCTACTTCAAAGTGGATTCTGCAGAGACCAACAGACAAAAGACTTTTGAATAAATAGCCCAATGTTAAACTGACTAAAGGCTTTCTTCCTGATCCAGCAAATAGAAAAGGCCTTCTGTCCAACAGGGTCCCCAACCTTTGTGGAAGGGTTAGAAAGATTTTGGCTTACTGGGGCCCCATAAGACTGATGGATGACACACTGGTAAGCTGTTAGCCTGTGTACAGGGATGTTTTACAGAGACAACATAAAAAGCTGTAATGCTTTACCTGAAGAATAAATGTGCTTGCTTAAGAAGAGCTCTGTTGTAACTGCTAGTAATTTCTCCGTTAGTCACTCTCA